TGGATACGCTTTGGCATGGAGACCAACTGCAGAGCCAGGGCTTGCGATTTTGTCTCATCTTTCACTTGTAAGTTTCCCCAGGGAAAGCTGACCACCAGGATCCCCGAAGAGTTGCTCCCAGATACCGCTCTCAGAGCTGTATTGCATGATGCTAGGGATCTCAGCTGTGCAAGGGGTGGACAGTAGGGGATGCTGTGGACTGTCCAGATACCTGACCCCTTCCCACCTCTCTAAGACTGAAGCACTCCTGCCCTCAGCTGCTGGGGAGTATGGGCAGCCAATAGCCCTCAACTGAAAGAGTAAGGTTATGCCCTCGTCCTGGGGACAGCCTGCACCCAGGGACTGGCTGATAATGATCAGTTGATGAGAAGATCTAAAGGTCCAGCCCCTTTGCCTCAATATGGGAAAACTGTTGGGCCATCCCAGCTTCAGGGTTCTCTGTGGAACGGTTGTGGCTGCACGGCAGTTCAGCTTCTCTCTCAGTCTAATCTCCTTGCTTTCACTCTCCTGAGGGCACTTCTCCATACATTTCTCACACGCCCTTCTCTATCTCAGAGTCTATTTCTCAGGGGAACCTGAGTCCAGGTGTCTTATTAATAGTCTCTTTCTTTCTACTCATGCATTTCTCTAGTTTACTTCCACCATGTAACCAGAACAGCTTCTTAATAACAGAAATCAGAGCATGTCACTCCCTGCTAAAAATCTTCCAGTAACTTTCATTTGTTCTTGGAAGAATATTTCAATCATTATCATGGCTTGGAAGAATATTTCAATCATTATCATTATTCACCTCATGCAATCCTTCCCACCGATTTAGTCTCTTCTCCTTTCTCTCCTTTGCTACTGTGCTTCATGTGAGTGGCTCTCCTTCTAGTCCAGGAATTCTGAGTTGAGTTTAGTAGCCTCCTTTTTTGGCCAGGACTTGAACTGGATAATTGAGTTCTGCCAATGGAGTGCCTGGCACAAATTGGCATCCAAAAAGCATTTATTGAGTAAATGAATGTCTAAGAGATTAGAATCTGAGAAGAAGGAGCCATTTGATTTCCAGGCCGTGGGCCTCGGTCCACAATGCATCACTGAGAAATATCAGAGAGTCCAGGGAGGCAGCTGAAGCTGCATTTCTTTGACATTTTGTCTTTATCTATGAGAAAAGGTAGAATCTGGTGAATTTAGTCTTTAGGACTTCATAAGACTTCATGCAATTTTCTTTCCTTGGAATCTCTATTGAAAAACTCCTGAAAAAATTCTGCAGAGAGGGAATTCTGTCCTATAATGAGACTTACCCCCATTATGACACAATATAAATGACTGTAATTCCCTGCAAACCTCAGGAGGTTTATTTCATCTGTCTTAGTCCTTTACTGATTGAGATACTGGATGCTTAAACCAACCTTGCCTCTTACTTTCTCCCTGGTTACAGCCTGTAAATTCTTAGTTGGCTTCACTCTAACATGGAAGAGTGGGCCCTGGAAGCCTGCTGATCACATCTTTACAGAATGCTATGTGTGACTTTGTTTCCCCCTAAAATCGTATGCTGAAGTCCTAACCTCCAGTACCTCAGAGTGCAACCATACTGAACACAGGGTTTTTATAGAAGTAATTAAGTTAAAATGAGTTTATGAGGGTGAGTCCTGATCCAATGTGACTGGTGTTCATAAAAAAAGGAGGAAATAAGCCAGGAGGAGTGTCCCAGCACTCTGGGAGGCTGAGGCAGGCAGATTACTTGAACCCAGGAGTTCAAGACCAGCCTGGGGAAGACGACAAGACCCCATCTCTACCAAAAAAAAAAAAAAAAAAAAAGCCACAAAACTTAAGCTGAGTATGGTGGTGCATGCCTGCAGTCTCAGCTACTTGGGAGGGTGAGGCAGGGGATCACTTGAGTCTGGGAGGTTGAGGCTACAGTGAGCCGTGATTGCGCTATTGCACTCCAGCCTGGGTCCTGCCTCAAATGCAGAAATTTGCGTACAGAGACAAGCACACAGAGATAACATCATATGAATGTGAAAACAGCCATCTACAAGCTGAGGAGAAGAGCCTAGAATAGATCCATTCCCCATAGCTCTCAGAAGGGATCAATCCTGCCAACACCTTGATCTTGGACTTCTAGCCTCCAGCACTGTGAGATAAGACATTTCTGATATTTAAGCCGCCCAGTCTGTGACACTTTGTTACAGAAGCCCTAGCAAACTAATGTGTGCAATCTGTGTCTGAACTCTCTGATACATGAGAGGAACAGATTTGCCCAAGCCAGGGTGGATGGTTTCATAAGAATCCCTGTAGATCAGCAGTCCCCAGGGACTGGTTTCATGGCCGACAATTTTTCCATGGATAGGGTGTCGGGGAGGGGATGGTTTCAGGATGATTCAAGCTCATTACATTTCTTGTGCACTTTATTTCTACTATTATTACATTGTAATATATAATGAAATAGTTATACAACTCACCATAATGTAGAATCAGTGGGAGCCTTGAGCTGGTTTTCCTGCAACTAGATGGTCCCATCCGGGGGTGATGAGTGACAGGGACAGATCAGGCATCAGATTCCCATTAGGAGCTTGTAACCTAGATCCTTCACATGCACAGTTCACAATAGGGTTCATGCTTCTATAAGAACCTAATGCCCGCTGATCTGACAGAAGGTGTGGTGCGGGGGTGGGGAACCCCTGCTGAGGATGACGTAGTGCTGCAGAGGTGGACCAAAAACTATCAAGTCTTTCCCAGGAGCCCGTGGCAGATTTTCTCTAAAGTTTCAGTGGACAGCGCTGCACCATGCGTCTGTGCTCTAGCCATAGGCAGGGCTGGTAAAGGCCTCTGGTACAGCAAAACTTGGGGTTGCTCTCAGTGATGAAGGCTCTTTCCAAGATCATGCCTACTTAGAATCCTCAGGTTGGTTCTATGAACCCTAAGAAAATGCAGGCCATGCCTTTCTGGGGCTTGGTGAAGAGTGTCAGGAAGCAAGGAATCTTTGACTAGGCAATTCGTGAATTTAGCTCCTTCTACATGTCAGTCATCCTTCTAGATCTTAGGAGTACAGACCTGAAGGAGGCAGAAAAGCTCCCTATTTTCATAAAGCTTATCTTGTAGGGGTAGCAGATGCGTAACAAGGCAAAGACAAGTTATGGCCAGGTACAGTGGCTCATGGTTATAATCCCAGTGTTTTTGGAGGCCATGGCTGGAGGATCACTTGAGCCCAGGAGTTAGAGGCTGCAGTGAGCTATGATTATAATTATGTCACTGCACTCCAGCCTGGGTGACAGAGTGAGGCCTTGTCTTAAAAAAAAAAAAAAAAAAAAAAAAAAAAAAAGACAAGTCATGATAAATCCTTCAGGGAGTGACTTGGCTCAGGTAGTGTTTAATCACGGCAAGGAAAAATTAGAAAGAGGCGACTGGGACTCCTTCAAATTTAAATATTATTAAGTTATTTTTGCTTGGAAAGTCTCAGTTAAAATAAATTCACATTTTGGCATCAGATTAAGCAATGTTAGATTTTGACACTTAGCGTGAATTTGGCAAACGAAGATATAGTTGCTCAGCTCTTGGTGGGTTCTGGCTCTTTCCAGCTTTGCAAACCAAGGTGAAATGTCCTGAACTTGGAATATCTCTGGCCAGCATCCACATTGGACCCAGTAATGCTCCCTCATGTCACATAGCTGATTAAAATGTGCAGAGGAACTAAAGTACCCACAGAAGCTTCCCTGCTTCCGGGACTGGGACTACTCCAGGATCCTTCTGAAAGATGCTTGCTGCTCCTCACCAGGTTGTGACCTGCATTACCGCCACAGGTGTGATGCTGTTGTCTCAGACTGTAATCCACCCATTTTAAAAAGGGCTTCTCTATATACCTATTAGCATAAGCCCCTTTCTCACTGGTTGCAAGTCTAATCTTCTCTGCAGGTAGCAGCTCCCTTAGGCGAAACTATTCCATTCCTAACAACTTTTGCACTTTAAAAAAGAAAGAAAAGAACCCAAAACAGGCTGGGCGCGGTGGCTCACGCCTGTAATCCTAGCACTTTGGGAGGCCGAGGTGGGTGGATCACTTGAGGTCAGGAGTTCGAGACCCACCTGGCCAATATGGTGAAACTTCGTCTCTACTAAAAGTATAAAAATTAGCCAGGCGTGGCGGCGCATTCTTGTAATCCAGCTACTCAGGAAGCTGAGGCGGGAGGATCTCTTGAATTCCGGAGGCAGAGGTTGCGGTGAGCCGAGATCATTCCACTGCCCTTCAGCCTGGGTGACAGAGCCAGACTCCGTCCCCCACCCTCCAAAAAACCCAAAACAAAGGACAAATATCTATACCTCATATCCCTACATGTTTGCAGAAAGGTTCTGCTTTGAGCTGGATCCATATAATATTATGACAGGTGATATCCTGACATTCCACATTTGCCTCCTTGGCATCCGGAAAATAATCCAGTTTTAATTCCGAAACACCCCATCATCCTAAACGCTCCGACACTGGTCCTTGAACACCGTGTCCCCCCACCCCAAGATAGTGCATTCTTCTCCGCACCCCTCTCCCCCACCGCCCGCCAATAGTCCTACTCCCTTATCCCTCACTGGTGTTCCAGTTGGGACTCTTGCTGGTAGGGTGTCTAGAGGTGGGTTCAAAACGTACAAAGGTAAAAGCCATTTAAAGAAAGAGATGGAGGACATGTTTTCCTTTCACTCCGATCCTCTGCCCTATTGAAGAGCGCTTTCTGATTTCCCGGTGAGTATCAGAGTATTCTACCATATTCGTTTTCTGGAGAGAAACATGTAAGCCTCAAATGTCCTACGAGAGGCCCTATACTACTTGAGGGTGCTCAGTGAAGATTTCAGGCACATACAATGCACTTGTCTGGAAGCCTGTGGACAAATGTAAAAAGGGGTTTCTAGGGAATATTTTGTTTTCTTTCTGCTCCATTTTAAGTTTCTGCTAACTTGCCCCCGACCCCGCAACTGCTCACGACCTCCGTCAAAGTCAACCTTTCCCACCGCGTGGAGTGAGTTGGGATGCATACCGGGAGTTGCATAAAAGTGTTTGAGAAAGGGAGATGCAGAGTTGAACAAAAGTGTTTCCCAGGAGGGGCCGAGCGGAAAGCAGCAGGTGGCCGGGGCGGGTGGAATCCAGCGCGGGCGCAGAGTGTCTCTGGCCCGGGTATTCGGTGCAGCGGGTCCGCGGGAACCTTGGATGCGCGGAAGTCCCGGGACCGGGTGACCGACTGGGCTGCGACCGCGGCCGGGTGAGATTGGGAGCGGAAGGCGGCGGCGGCGCCCGGGGGAGGGCACCGGCCCTGGAGGCCTCCGACCAGGGCGCAGCCGTGCGCTGCGCCCGGGCGCGCAGTGTTGACCGGCGTCCTAGCAACAGGCGGGGCCGACTGCGGCGGGGCAGCGCGCTGCAGGTGAGTGCGTCTGGGAGTCTCCACGCCCACCCCCGCGGGGGCTCTGCAGCAGGCCGCATGGATCGGGAAACCGAGGCGGCTCTCTGGCCCCGACGCTGCTGCTTTCGCCTGCTCCCCTTTCCCTCCTGGGGACCAAGACCCACCCCCTTTCTTTCTCTCTCCCAGGCGCATCTCGCACCTTCCTCCCCGCGAGACCCTGCCTCCGCCCTAGGTTGGGGACCGTCTGCTCCTCTGTCCTCGCGCCCCGCTCTGCACTACCCCGACCCCTTCATCTCCTGGATCCGCTCTCCACTTCTGCCGCCGCTTCCCTGCCTCTCCTTCCCCCAGCCCGTCTTTCTCCTCCGGCCTTGCAGCTCGGCCTCCCACTCCCACCGTGGTCTTCGCTGTCCCTTCCCTCCTCGTCCCCTTAGTGAATCCATCCCTGGAAACTTAGAGTCCCAGCTCTGACGCCCACTTCCTGTAAAGAGTCTACTGGGGGCCGTCATCCCACACTAGGCTTAGCTTTAGTTTTACTTAGGGCCCTGTTCATGTCAGTTCTGAAAGTTCGATTTTCTGCGGGTCTTACTGAATAACTTCTGCATTCTCGGAAAGCCGTGTGTGCGCGGACTCCCGGTGGATGTTACCAACCACATTCACAGATCTCAGAGCTGATGGCTGCCTTTCCATAGCCCCCTAAAGAATTCGGTTGTGCTTCTGTTTAAGTCTTAACGACGTGATTCCCGAATGGGTTTTATTTCACTAATGATGCTGGAAGCTTGAAATTGACCCTTAGAAAAAAAACAATCTATGGTATCCATTGGATAAAGAGAGTCCCAGTTAATGTAAACATCCCAGTTTATGTAAACACGTAACCAAAACTTTTTTCCTTTTAATCTTTAAGCTTACTTTCTTTACTTCAAAGGTATGTGCTGTGTATTTACATGGATTCATTTTAACTATGGTTCTTAAGCCAAAAGAGCTTGGCAATGGGTAGAAACTGGGGAGCAACTGGTCTTGATTTTAAAATCTTAGTTTTGAGTTATACTGACCATTTTTGAACACCATTTATTTTATTTTATTTTTTTAAATTTATTTATTATTATTATACTTTAAGTTGTAGGGTACATGTGCATAACGTGCAGGTTTGTTACATATGTATACTTGTGCCATGTTGGTGTGCTGCACCCATCAACTCGTCATTTACATCAGGTATAACTCCCAGTGCAATCCCTCCCCCCTCCCCCCCCCCCCCTCCCCCTCCCCCCTCCCCCCTCCCCCCTCCCCATGATAGGCCCCGGTGTGTGATGTTCCCCTTCCCGAGTCCAAGTGATCTCATTGTTCAGTTCCCACCTATGAGTGAGAACATGCGGGAACACCATTTATTTATTTATTTTCTAATAACATTGAACTTGCCTTCTGGATTGTCATAGGCCACCCTAAGTTTTCTTAAGCTGACCAACCTTCTTGAATAAAACTTGTGTACTGCTACGGTTCACTAGACTTGGAAATGCGATTTGAATAGATTCAAATGTTCCATTTCTGTCAAAATTTATCTTGACGAAAATAACGATTTTGCATTTCTTAATTCTGTGCTAAGGATCCTTCAAGAAGTTGCTATATGATATGTTGACTACCATAGCGTTACATAATCTATTTAATTGCACATTTTTTCTTTAAAAATGTGCAAGAAGCAATCTTTATAAGATTACCAAAACAAATGTTATGCTTGAGATTAAAGACAGACAGAACTGTTCACCTAAGTCTTTCTGTGTAAGATAAAGCTATTTGCATTTATTTCACACTATTTTACACTGATTTGCACTTATTTTATGCAACAATGGGAAACTCAAGAGTCTCACACATACACATCAGAACATATTTATGTGTTTAAATCTAAAGCATTTCTCATCGGTTAGCAGTTGAAACAAAATGCTGGAATACTAAAACAAACGCCCAGAACAAATTCGTACACTAACTTCTATGCTTTATTTCATGAACACTTTGGTATATATGTCTGGATCAGTTGTTCTCAACCCTATCTGATCCAGTACTTGGTTTTTAAAACAAATATGTTGTAATGCTGCTTTGCTATCCTGAAATCAAGATTGTAGATTATAATCTTACATATTGAATATAGTTTTAAATAGTGGTAGCATGCTAACTATAAAATGAAAGAAAATAATTGTAAGAAAATACCGGCATGTAAACACTCAAGTACCACTACACTAGAATATATAAGGAAGTAGTCAGATGTCCACATCTGACTTACACAGAATGACTGAACACAGCAGCCCCAAATGCAGACTGATACAGACATGCCATGCAACTTAAATTTCTCAAATAACATTGCCATCAATGGTGTCATTTTCCAAAATGCTGAGCTCTTGGTAAAATTCCATGTAAAACAAAGTATGTACAACCTTCCTTTCATTTACGATAGCTACAATTCTGGAAAATTCAGGGTGTATTAAAACTGTGACAAAATACTCCGCAATTTTTGCAAAGTGCAGAAAAATTCTAGGCTCAGGTAGTGCTTATGTGAAGTTTTTCACTTACCAGATGCCTGGAGGTTACAGCAGAATTCTTCCTTTTGCGGTACTGTCTTGCACAGAAGGATATTTTACATTGTCTGTCCTCAACACTAAAGGCCGATAATGCCCCCTTTCCTATCATGTTGATAACTACACATCTCTATAATATTTCTATACTGTTTATCAGCAGGAAGTACTGTCCTGTTGCAATCCAATGATCTCCTGTGATTGAATTTAATAGTTCTAAGATTTAATACAGTATAGAATGTAAAATCTCCAAGTCTAATCTTTGTACTTTAAGCCTTTGTAGTAATGATGGGAGAAAAAAGCTAATTTTATTCTATATTTAACTGTATAACCATTCTTCTAATATTCTGGAAGAAAGATTTTATCAGTAAGTGTTATTACAAATGAGAAAAGAGACAAGTAGAGATTATCTGCCATAAAAGCCTTCAATGTTCATTATGAAGTCAGAACTTGCTTTCTAACTTGGCTTTTATTTAATGTTACAGATATTGTTACTTTTTAAAAGATCTTCTTTTACAGACTAATTTCTATTTAGCCAATGTGAAATTTGTCTCACTTGAATTTGTTTTAAATTTTACTGCTAGACTCTTCCGATAACTAATTCAGATAAAAAGTCTGAAAGACTTTCACTTATTCCTACATCTCTCACATTAACTCTTAAGAAGGTTGTGAATTACAGTAAAATGTCATTCTGGGCAGGATATACAGGCAGGGAAAATAGTATTTGGATTGTCCAGATATTCTGGTAATAGGATCAATGTGTCCTATATCAATTTTCAGAAAAAAATTATATTTCACAATACTGTTCTTATTCTATTTCTTTTTTAACTCAGAAAGCACTTGGGGAACCTGGAGTTATTAGAATCATGTTCTTCAGTCATCATTGTGATGATGCAGATATTATCACTATAAGAAAGTCGGGGTAACAGTATTCAGTTTAATAGTGTAATTCTAAACAGTGTATGTCCTGGCTCAAAGGAGTGTTTGTCCCTGAAACTGCTGGCTCCCAACAGAGCTGTGAACAAAAGCCCTTAATACTAACCTCTTCCACTTCTTTGTTTTACACTCTTGGAGTTTTCTGTTTGGGTTTTATGCCTATCTGTTTGAATCCTCTCTCTTAGGCCCCAGGGAAATTAGAAAGAAGTTATTAATTTCAGGGCAAATACTGGAAATTTCTTAAATACTAGTCAGTTTTACCTAGTGCTGGTTTACTACTTCATTGAACTAAAGAGCAATTAGATAATTTTGAAAAATCAGTCTTTGAAGATTAATAAGCAGAATGTGGGGTGGGGAGTAATAGTTTAAAGTCTTGAGAATGAAAAATGTTCCAAGGAAAAGGTGGATGCTCTTGTCTCTTTCTCTTTCTACTCTGATGTAGTGCCTGTGCTAAGCTCAGGTCTGAGCACTGGCGGATCCCATGGGTGTGGCTCTGACAAAATCGACGCAGTGGACTGCTGCTGGGCATGGAACTGGAACCCTCGAAATCACACCTCTAAATGAAGCGATATTGAAAGAAATTATTATGTTTGTGGAGAGTTTTATCTATAAACATCCTCAAGAGGCGAAATTTGTTTTTGCGGAACCACTTGAGTGGAACACAAGTTTGGAGCCCTCAGCATTTGAATCAGGTTATGTTGTCAGGTAAGCCAGTTACATGCTTCTAGGATTTGATATCTTCGTTGTACATATGTTTATCAGTTGGTTCTAGGTATGGGGGTAAGTCACCTAACCTCTCTGAACCTCACAAGCCCTCTAAACCAGGGATTGTGAACCAGAGACACACAGCTGAAGTCTGAGGATGTTCAGCTTGGCCAAAACATTCTCTTTCTAAGTTTTAAATTTAAGTTTTTAAATTAAACCCAATTTTAATTTTTGTGGGTAAATTTCTTTGGACAAGGTATCCATTATCCAAGTCACTACACTGCCAACACTTATTGCTACTTTATGCCTCGCCTTTCCACCCATATGTGGATGTGTGTATATATATATGTTAGAGATGGGGTCTTGCTATGTTGCCCAGGGTGGTCTCAAATTCCTGGCCTCAAGTGATCCTCCTGCCTCAGCCTTCTAAAATGCTAGGATTACAGGCATGAGCCACCACCCCAGGTCATCCATATTCTTCTGAATTTTATTTCTATAAATATATGGGATACTTCCGTATTACCTGCCAGATGCCAGGAGCCATTGGTTTTGTGGCCTCTGATGTAGATGATATCTCTTCTGGTATTTAAATTGATCAATTCCTGGGATAGAAGCAGGAGGCGGCGGGGAGGGGT